AGAATATAATTAACATAATGTGATAAGAAAGGAGTTAAATAATGAAAGGTGGGCTGAAGTCAGTTAAAGGCTGTGATATTTTATCCTGAATAGTATTTTTTTGATGAAACCTCCTGTTCTAAACATTTCACACCATCTGAAAGATTCAGGACTGATTACAGATTAAATAAAGCTGATATCCTCTCGGGGGTGATGATCAGTCCTTGTAGAAGACAAAGATTGACACCTGGATACCTCTTTTCAAGATATAAGATTGAGTGAAGGGTGGCAGATTTGTGTTCAAACCGGGGTCACAGGACAATTGCAGCAGAGGCTCACCAGCACACTGTGTGCTAGTCTCCTCCAGGCTACTTGTTTGTGGGTTAAAAATTAAAACTATTAGAAGAGAATATGTTTTAAAAAAAAATCATCACAGATAATTATATCTATGTATATATATGCATATATATATATGTAAAATTATGCAAAATAATGCCCATTCTAGGGTGTATTCTCAGTATTTGATTTCTGTTTGTTTCTACCTTGCAGGTTGTGACCAAGGGACAAGCTGAGCTTTTGGGAAGGGTCCCATCCTCAGAAAAAGTAATAAACCTTAAAATCACAGAGAAGATGGTGCCTGCCTTTCGCTTTTTAGCCTACTACTTCATTGCAAATGAGGGCCGTCAAGACATTGTTGCCGATTCCGTATGGGTGGACGTTATGGATGTCTGTGAAGGAAAGGTACTTCCAGAGCTTGCAGCTTCTGTTACTGTATTCCAAACTGAAAACAAAAACATGGGGTATCAGCAACAATGCAGGCCTGGGGTTAAAAAGTGTATCATCTTTACTGAAAAACAAGGGGGTCATCAGAATTTGTGCTGAAAATTTTCTAAGCTATACCACTTAGAAAGGCTCCCGAGAGTGATGGCAGAAAGGCTTCCAAGAGTGGCAGAAGAGATATCCTTCTTCTGCAGGACAGGCTGTGCCTCAAAGAGATGAAAAATATAGTTTTGTAGAGATAAAGTTCCCCCGTTAGTGTCTATATATTAGAAATCCGCAGGGAAACACCAACAGAATTGCTAAGGGGCAGAATCTCTTTAAACTTTGTCTTTTTGTAGTAAGGTTTGCTGCATGAAAGACAGTGAAACCATGTATTGGGGAAAAAAAAACCAAATTCAAAGTAATTCTTCAAGTTTTTTAATTTCTTTTAAAAGCAATTTTCTGTGATTTTGTAGCACTTTAAAAAAGTCTACATTAGAAAATGTAGTGTGGATAAAATAGGAGTCCCTCTAAGCCTTTCTTTCACCTTCCTCCTTCTCATCCTGCTTTGTGGGACCATAAGGTAAAATGAAAAAAACGGGACACAGAAATTTTTCCTAATAGAATGAAACACAACTGCTGAAAAACATCAGCTGTCTAAAATTACTTTTTCCAATGAAAATATTTGTTTTGGAAAAAGAATGTGATAGTACATTGGGGAAAAAAAGTTGTCAAGAAAAATTATCCATCTCTAAAGCACAAACAAATTCTTCATTTATACAATGACAAAAGTCAGTTATGTTCAAGCTGACAAATCTACTAAGGATTCCCTATTAGTTTCATAATCACCATGCCTACCCCCTCCTAAACCATGAAGTGTCTACATTAGAATCAGACCTGGGTTTACCCAGTCATGTTAAAAAATGCAAGTGTGCAATAGAAAGCAGGTAGTATTATTACAGACTGGTTTAAATCAAGTAATTTTGTACATTAATTAGTCTTCTCCTGTATTTCATGGCAATTTTGTTTCTACTGGAAAATGACAATATTATGTTGAAGACCCTAGTTCAGCAATCCCTTACACATACTTTCAACTCCCACTGGTGCTTCCCATTGAAAGTCAGTGTCCAGTATTCTGCAAGACACATTTTTTAGTTCCCCATGATGTGCCTCAGAGGAAAATATCTGCACCTCCATCTTCCAAAACACAGGATCTCAGGCAGAAGCATCACAAAACAGGAACATCCCCCAGACTCTGACTGTTGACAATCACGGCTGACAGTATTCCTGACCCAAAGAGTCTTCACTTTTTATTAACAAATTTGATATTTTTTGTTTCAATCTTTTCTATTTAGATTAAAGTGAGAACAGAAAAAGAGACGTATGAACCAACAGACATCATCAATTTACAGATTGAAACGGATCATGTGGGAAAAGTTGCTTTAGCTGTGGTTGATAAAGCAGTGTTTATTCTGAATAAGAAAAATAAGCTTACTGCCAAAAAAGTAAGATATTTTTAAGAAGAAAAATTTTCTGTGACTAATGTGAGGATCAAAATGTAATTAATGGCTATTAATTGCTTAAACACAGATTTGCTAAGATTGAAAATGTTCTTTTCTTTTGCAAAATCTACTTAAGATGAATGGTATATTTAAGATGGGAATTCCCATGCAATGGCAGACAAGTTTGTAAATTAAAAAAGCATTGGTTGAAATCACTTCCTAACTAAAACATCCCTCAGCTCTAATCTCAGTTTCCAAATGCAACTTGTACTTCCAGTTTGTCTTGCTTCTGTGAATCAAAGGCTACAAGAATTTTTCCAATATATATATAAACCTTTTACAAGCATGTACAGTACATCAGTGCTATTTTATTTGGCAGGTATTTAATGCTATGAATTCGTACGATCTTGGATGTTCTGCAGGTGGTGGTTCAAATAGTGTTCAAGTTTTTACTGATGTTGGTCTGGCTTTTTTATCGGATACAATTCAATCCAGCATTCGGGAAGGTAAGTGCAATCTGCCCTCTACTTTACATGTTTGTATAAGACCACTGTAGATCTGGCAAGGCTGATTGCTGAAAAAACAGAAACATTTTATTGTGATGTTGTAAAATCTCCTTTGCTTCTGGATTTTTCTTCTTCTGTTCTTCCATTGGGTGCTGGAAGTTCTGATAGCCCAGATAATGGCTGCTAGTCCCTTGGTGACCACCTCACCTGGGGCAGGCAGCATTTGACCATGGCTTTAAGGTAACTTGATAAACTGTGGGTCTTCTGTGAATGAAATGGGTCCTGAGACGGATCTTCATGAATAATGTGAATGATCAGGCTGTTCCTGTCATGTTATCGTGACAAGTTCTTCTGCTCTGCCTTCCCAGGATATAAATGCCTCCACGGTACCAGGAGGCAGAAGAGATCTTTGGATTTTCAGAAGATGTCAGGAATTGGTATGTCTGCTCATCTGGGTGGTCCAAAAGGCTTAGCAGGGGAAGGCAAAGGAATCCAGCAAGGATCTAGGGGGGCAGGAAGTGATGGTATAGTAGAGGATACCAAGATATTCTTAGTCCCAGTTCTTGCATTAAATGACATAACCTAGCACAAGTGTTTACACTATGCTGCGTGGCCTGATGCATCATTCATCAAAACAGCTAGACAAAAAAGAAACCTGAAAAAAAAATCAATGAAACCAAAAAAACCTGCAAATGGAAACTAATTCTCCACTTTACAATCTCTCAAATGTGAAGTACTTCTACTAGATGTCCTGTAATCAGTCATGACTTTGAGGCTTTTCAAAGTTATTTATATGGCCAGAAAATGTTTCATAGATCCTATTTTTTTGCTTGATATTCTGCTTTAAAGTTGTGCTAATTTTGGTTACTTTGTGCTTCAATTAAGAGACGAGTTAATATAACATTTGGTCTAAATGAGAAAAAAAAATAATTCTACACAAATTGACATCTCCTTGCTGGAAGACATGAAGGCTTGAGGCTGGCATCTTCCTTACTTTTGAAATCAGGCTCTTTATTTGAGAAGGAAAACACTTCCACGGCTATTTCTATTAAGATGTCTAATTTCAGCCTGCCAAGGAGGTGTTTTTAATTCACAGTCTGACTATGAAGAGAAAGGTTAGAATAGAATATCTAGGATGATATAGGGCCTGTATTTTCCTCCTGTGTTTGTGGACTGGTTTTAGGATGGAGAAAAAGTCCCTGGCTGAAGCTTGACTGTTGCAATAGAAACTAATGTTAATGGCAAAGAATGACAGATACGAGCATGATAAACATCTTCACACTTGTTGCTACTTACACAGCACTAATTCTGGACTTTAATTGTATTGCAGCCAGCAAATACCAAAACACTGAACTACAAAAATGCTGTCAAGATGGAATGAAATTAAATCCCATGAGGTTTCCTTGTGCAAAAAGACTAAGAAGGGTGTCTGGCTCCCGCGAATGCAGGAATGCATTCCAGGACTGCTGTGAGAAAGCCACAGCACTCAGGAAGGAGGCCAAGCGGAGGAACAGAGTGGGCTTGGCACGACGTAAAGAACAGTGGCATACAGCTGCCCCTTCTTTCACACTTCATATGGTGGCAAGGGAGGGTTAAGGGGCATTTAGTACTGTGGGGCTGGGGAGGAAGTTCTCACATCAGCATTGCAATGGACCTCAGTGTAGTGCAGCACCCACACAGCATTGCATCTTTGCACCCGTTCACTGGGAATGTGGGAGCGAGATGGGATAACTTCTTGGGGTGAGAAAGGAATCACTTTAGCCCGGAACAGCCCTCTGGTGGAGCTGTTTTTCCCTGACCAAACCCCAGGAAGGCCACAGAGAGCAGAGCAGCAAAGTGGGTTCAGCAAAGTCTGGGTTCGGGGCTCTAAGTGGTCTTAGATCCATGACTGTTTTATTAGTGGCAATACTGTTGTAACACCTGAGGATCTCCCAGACACCTTGTCATGAGAAGGGGCCACTTTAGACAGAAATAATTTTGTCTCCCTTTCTACTCACCAAAGTCTATCTCTGACCACATATGTTACATCTTGCCTCATATTAAAAAAAAAAAAAAAAAA